ATATATATATATATATATATATATGCAGTATATAAGAATTTATAATATAACAATTTAACATTAAAAACTACATTTAAATAAAATAAAAATGTTCTATGTTGTTAGTTCATGATATCTGATATTAACAAATTACACCTTAGTTTTTAACCTTTGTTTTTAGCGTACACCACCTGTACAATCTATATAAAATAACAGATGCCTTTTCTTTCTCCTGCAGAAACATGATGGGCAGTTCACGGTCATTCAGCTGGTGGGGATGATGCGTGGAATCGCTTCAGGAATGAAGTATCTGTCTGACATGAGCTACGTCCACCGTGACCTGGCGGCACGCAACATCCTGGTGAACAGCAACCTGGTGTGCAAAGTGTCCGACTTCGGCCTGTCCAGAGTGCTAGAGGACGACCCTGAAGCTGCGTACACCACACGGGTAAAGCACCTTTCCCCCATCAAGGTTTTATTCGATCCTAGAGTGAGTCATCATCAATTTTACACAAACAGGGAATGAAGGAAGAACTAAACGGATAAAAAATGTATGTTTTTTTTTTGTTTTGTAACATCTTGTTTGCAGTACAAATTTGAGTACCACTTTAGTTGTTTATTTAATGTTTTTTCAGAGCTAACTTTCATCATTGTCTCAGTTTTTCGCTAATACGGTAAATCTGACTCATTCCAAGAGAACTCAGTTAAGAAATAATGATTGAAATGTCTCTGATCTCCTTGAAAATGTCTCTCGTGTCTTTTGAAAGTGTTTGATTGCGTGAAAGAACTTCACCGAGGCACCGAGAGAAAGAGACAGAGGAGGGATGTTTGAGAAGCGAGTTGGCTTTCTCAGGGGTCAGTTTCTCTGTCAAGCCAGCATGTATTAATTACATCCGTTTCTGACAGGACAACCGCCTCCAAACCCCCTACACTCGTTCCTCTGTCTCCCTCCCAGCTCGGTAATTGGTGAGCACCCTGTGGATGCGTATGAAGGCCAAGGGCAAGAAAGAGGCATATGTGTGTGTGTAGCCGTCGGTGTCCACTCTGGATAGGACACAAAATTGCCTGAACTTTTTTATTTTTTGTCGTATTTAGGGCGGAAAGATTCCCATTCGATGGACGGCCCCTGAGGCTATAGCGTACAGGAAGTTCACCTCAGCAAGTGACGTTTGGAGTTACGGCATCGTCATGTGGGAGGTGATCTCATATGGAGAGCGGCCTTATTGGGACATGTCTAATCAAGACGTAAGTGTCCTTGAGAAACTGGAAACACACATGTTCTCATGTGTATTGTTTAAATTGAAATCTGCTCCACTAATATCTAATATCTCCACTAATATAATTTCTGCTGAAGCCTCTGGGGGGGGGGAGTCTCCGAGCAGTGTGTCCTTGCAAACGTTCAGAGAGTAACATCTTCCTGCGGTGATGTCTGTATAGAAACCGCTCGAAAGCCTCATAAACGAGAGCTGTCCAGCTGCTCCTGTCTTTAATACAAGTCAGTTAAACACACTTCATCCCTCACTGCTGTATTATTCTAACGCTTTCTGACTTCCCCCTTTATTACCATCAGAGGAAATGTCAAAGAAATCTTGAAGACCTTCAGGGCACCGCAGATAATGATTTAGATCTGGACTCCCTCTAAAACTAAGAAATGACTGTTAGAATGTTTCCTGTCTAAAAGAAAATAGCTCATTTGATTTAAGAACAGGAAGTGGCAGAGAACAGGAGCAGTGAGTTATAGTCATATAGGAGATGTTTTGAACCATTGAGTTGAATTATAGTCTGGTATATTATAGAAATTTGTTACTTGCAATATGAATATACCATGAAAGCACCATAATAGCACAACAGGAGCTTGATATTAGACAATTAACACTGTTTTCAAATGATAAAAAAAAAAAAATAATAATTCCAACAAAAGGACAGAAAAATTCAGAAAGCTGTTTGAAGAAGATCCTATATTAATGTATTATTGTTTTGTAGCTGTTCACGCATTAAGATCTATATTAACCAGTTTTACTGAAGTCAAAGATATTATTTTATTTATCTGAATGAGGTTACAGATACTAAAGTAGTTGCATAGGAAAATCAGATAGAAATGTGTCCTTAAATATACAGTTGCACATTTTTACTTTGTACATTGTATTGTACAGTATTTTGATGCATGTGTATGTCTTTCAGGTGATTAAAGCTATAGATGAGGGTTACAGGCTGCCTGCTCCAATGGACTGTCCCGTAGTCCTCCACCAGCTGATGTTGGACTGCTGGGAGAAGAGCAGAAGCGAACGGCCCAGATTCGGGCAGATCGTGAACACTCTTGACAAACTGATCCGCAACCCCACCAGTCTGAACGAGCTCGCCAACAGCTCAGTCTGGTGAGAACCTCATATGAACCCTCACTTCATTCAAATCCAGCCGATATTTGTGCATACGTAAGCTTTTCACACTGTTTTCAACCCTGCATTAAGGCCACTTTTTGACCCTGGATTAGGTAATGCTCACACTGCAATAAATCATGTTAAATCCTGTTTTCCTGTACAGATATCTGAACATTCTTGAAACGAGATAAATTAAATTGTTAGTGGGGTTAATAAAGTTAATATACACTACCATTCAAACATTTGTGGTCAGTACAATTTCTATTTATTATTTTTATTTATTTATTTAAATTATTTAAATTATTTTTTGAAAGAAATTAATACTTTTGTTCAGCAAGGATGCATTAATTTGATCAAAAGTGACAGTAAAGACATTTATAATGTTGCAAAAGATTTCTATTTTAGACAAATTCTGTTCTTTTGAACTTTCTATTCTGAAAAAAAGGTATCATGTTTCAACAAAAAATATTAAGCAGTACTGTTTTCAACATTGATGATTTCTTGAGCAGCAAATCAGCATATTAGAATGATTTCTAAAGGATCATGTGACTTCATGAGAATTCAGCTTTGCCATCATAGGAATAAATAACATTTTAAAATATAGTAAAATGAAAAAAAGTTATTTTAAATTGTAATAATGTTTCACAATATTACTGTTTTTGCTGTATTTTTGATCAAATTAATGCAGTCTTGGTGAGCAAAAAACAAAAATAAATCTTACAGACTTTTGAATGGTAGTGTATGTAAACATCCTTAAAACAAGATAAATTAAAGATAAGTTAATATACATTTACTAGGGAAGAAAAAAAAATACATGAAATATTAAGGCTCATTTTCAGGGAATGTCTCATTATTATTTATTTTTCTTACCCCATTGGCAATTTATTCTTGCTTTAAATCTACACTTCACTATATGTTGTTAGATATATTCTGAAAAGTACCAATGGGACCAACACAACAAATTATTATTTAAATTAATTCAATTTTTGATCAAATTAATGCAGTCTTGGTGAGCAAAAAACTAAAAAAATCTTACAGACTTTTGAATGGTAGTGTATGTAAACGTCCTTAAAACAAGATAAATTAAAGATAAGTTAATATACATTTACTAGGGAAGAAAAAAAAATACATGAAATATTAAGGCTCATTTTCAGGGAATGTCTCATTATTATTTATTTTTCTTACCCCATTGGCAATTTATTCTTGCTTTAAATCTACACTTCACTATATGTTGTTAGATATATTCTGAAAAGTACCAATGGGACCAACACAACAAATTATTATTTAAATTAATTCAAGTGTCTGAGGGAGGTTATTTTGAATAGTGATGGCAAACATGTTGAATTGTTGAAAAGACACTCAAACAGGTCACACGCTCTTTGCTAAATATGCAAATTTGAAAACTACCCCAAGAGTTTCCTCATGTACAGTGTGTACAAATAGTATGATATACCCAAGATTGTTAACTCTGGGTTAACAATTTCAAGTGTGAAATGCCTGATAAAGTGACAGAAACATGAAACACAAAGGACAACACCAGTTTAAACCAACTGTCTCTTTTAAAGTAATGTACAGATAAAACATTTAAAAGCCACAAAAACAAATCCCTAACAGCTCAAATAAATCCAGAGAAAATCCAATCCAGATTTTCTGTGTCTGCCCCATGAACTCTCAAATCGTTCGTTTTATGTGAAACAACGGGCAGATAAACTCCATATTGTCTAATATAACCAAACCTAGTGTCACTGATCCTTTTCAACAGACATCCATCTGGCAGCTTTGTAAAAAGACAGTTGTATAGATAGCCTGAACCCCCATTGTAAAACCTGCCATGAGACAGAGCGCAGACTCTCCCTCCACCTGCGGTTTATCAGGAGCGCTGGAGACGGAGAGGCAGAGTTCACATTACAGCCGTAAAGCCAGTGATTCAGAGCCCTTCATGAGATATACGCTTCCTCAAGCCCATCACAGTCTCTCTGATTACAGCCCAACCTGCCAGTCATTTTATCCCTCTGTGTCCAAAGAGGACAAAGAAGAACAAGGGTGTTAAATACATCCCAGGTCTGAGATTGAATTGACCCCCGATTTTCACTCGAACGTTGCTGTCACTCAGCAGTGTGAACCTTAACCCGTCTGTCATGAAGAACGGAAAGGCAACACAATAGGTTTCAGGGCTCGCAAAATTTCAAAATCCCTGGTAGCCCTTCGGGCAGGTACTCTTCAAATTTTGGTAGCCCGAAAATTAATTTAACTAGCCCAAATAAAAAAATACATTTTTTTAAATATAGAAAAATGTCAATCAAAAATATTTTCAATACACAAATATCAACAAATATGAAGGAAG